CTAGTTAAAAGAGTTAGAGCATCAACATCTAATTTACCTCCTTTCTTGACACTATTTCGGCCGCCTGGGTGATAGTTGTCATTGGCTGACATCTTCTCAACCAGCTCCTTTGCTTCGGTTGGATTTTTAGTTAAAAGGGAGCCTCCAGATGCGGCGTCGATATAGATCCGGAACTCATGGGTTAGACCATTATAGAAGGTTTGGATTAACATCCATTCAGGTATGCCATGATGAGGGCACTGTCTCTGTAACCTCTTGAATCTCCTCCATGCGTCATATAAGGATTCTTCATCTGATTGCCTGAAAGTGGATAGCTCGTTCCTTAATCTTGCAGTCTTTTCTTGTCCCAAGAACTTGACCAGAAAAGCTTTTACTAGTTTATCCCATGTATCAAAGGAACCAGAACCCTCATCTCTTAACCATTCCTTCGCCCTATCCCGTAATGAGAATGGAAAAAGGCGAAGTCTAAGAGCATCATCCGTAACACCATTCAGCTTCATAGTGTCACACTTTTCCAAGAAACCATCTATATGATTCACTGGGCAATCAAGAGGTGTGCCAGCAAATGAATCGTTGGATATGAATTGAATAAATTGCGGTTTCAATTCAAAATTCTGAGCGGTGATAGGTGGTCTAATAATTCTAGAAAGGAGTCCGGTTGTTGTGTCAGGGATACCGTACTCCAAAAGAGACTTTGTTGCTTGGTCTTCCATATTTCTGTTACCTGCTCTTCTTCTACTTCTTCGTCTTCTTGCAGTCGCTTCAATTTCTGAATCGAGAGGCACTAAGTCGTCTGACCCTGAGTGACGTGTTTGCATACAACAAAGAACTAGGCAAAGAACATCAAAAACACAGGAGGCAATAGCCGAAGCAACAAACAACGCTTAGTAAAAACGAATCACGAAAAATCAATATGAAACCGTTAGTCCCCGGCAACGGCGCCAAAATTTGATAGGCTTATCGCGTACCTAACAAAAATAACCTAACTATTCCTTCTAACTGTGTAGTAGGGCAAGTAAGGATCGAATCCCAAGAGACTATGGTTCATTCAATTAATCAGACTCAATTAATCACTAAGCACGTGACCAATCAATAATGGATGATAATAATCAACTAATATATTAAATAACACAATCAACTAGAGGAAATATTAATCAATAAACTAAAGCATCCAAGATCAAGCATCACCACGATTATGATTGATAAACTAATAAATCTACCCCCAATATATAAATCAATTGACAAGAAGAAAAGCAATCCCTAATAATAATACCAAAGGTCTCTTCCGAGTTATCAATGGCTTCCCAAATTAACTATCAAGCCTACTTCCGTGGAATCAAGCGAATAAGGGACATTAAACACCATGCCTAGATTCCTAATTATTCAATCATCTACTTCCGTGATGATCTTCAAACCCTTAATTGAAATAACCTAATCCCGTTAATACCCAACTTCCGTTGCAATAAGAACAAAGGGATGATAACAATACTAATTATTCCTAATCTAGTATTGGCATAAACACAATCAATTAAGCATGTCAATTGGGATTATTATTGGGGAATTTAAAGATCTACTTTATACATCAATCATAATCGGGCTTAGCAAGATCCCGGATTAAGGAAACTACTCACACATCATAATAAAATCAAAAACAAGATCTAATAGAGAACACATAATTAAAGAACTATAAAATAAATAAAAGAGATGGAAAGTAAGAAATACCAAAAACTTCAATTGGTGATCTTAAATTCTTGAAGAATAATTAAATTAAACTAGGATTAAAGATTGAAATTTGCTTAAGAATAAAACTAGGGTTTTGAGAGAGTATTTCTAAGTCTAAAGGAAAAGCTAATGAAAAACTTAACTGTCTAAAAGTTAATTACAAAAGGGTATTTATACCCCCAAAAGATAATATTTCGGAAAAATAAGAAAATACGCGTTCTTGAGCTTTGCCCGGTCTGACCGGGCGGACCTCGCCCGATCGGGCGGAGGAAGGCTGAGAAAACTACGCAGCATTTCCTTCTTCGCCCGGTCTGACCGGGCGAACCTCGCCCGGTCGGGCGCGCGTAACACGTATCCAGAATTGCATCTCATAACTTGATTTCTTCATCGCCCGGTCTGACCGGGCGAAGCCTGCCCGATCGGGCGCGCGTTGCACCGTTCAGAATTGGGCTTCTTCCTGTGAACTCTTCATTGCCCGGTCTGCCCGGGCAAGCCATGCCTGGTCGGGCATTCCACATAAATTGCAGTTCTTGGCTATCAACTCTTCCGAATCTACTAAAAACACGTCCAATTGCCTAGAAACGCTTCATATTCCTGAAAAGTTTACTAAAACAATCGAATACACTAAAGAAGAGATTGTTAGCAAGAAATAGCTCCGTAGAGCTCAAAACCATGTAAAATCATGCAATCAAACCGGGGAAAACCATTGTATAAAACACGTATATCAATAGTATAATAGCATGCGGAATGTAAGTTACAGGAATTTTATGATATCGGTACATAATGGAACCGATGAATAATATGCATATGCATAATGGAATGGACTAATAAGTAAGGGATCTAAAATATATGTACATTTTGATGTCGACATAATGATAATGATCATAAGTTTATCATGGACCCGAAGTCCAATGAAATATGGATTTTTAAATCCACACTATACAATGTCTTGCATCATTTTGAGTCTTATATTCATGTGCATGTGAGTCATAGGTTAATTGTTTATTGCATATATAGCAAGTTAGATGCATTACTCATTGTATAATTTGTTTATATGTTATCATGTTTTATATATCTCATATTGCATGGATTAATTTCTTACAATGGTTGTGGTGTATGTGAATGTTCATTCAAAGTATAGTAAGACATATTTACAAATTTGATGAAAAATTAGAAAGAGATATTTATATTCCAATGGGCTTATAATTGTAATGAAAAATTGATGACACATATTTAATAACATGTTATGAATCATGTAAAAGAAGTTCCTGAAGAACTTATATACGACGTATTAAATGTCTAACCCTACAAATTTTTATGTCTTGAATATTGCAATTATTATCAAACTCTTGAAAAGTTTATGTGACTACATTATTGACATCTCAACCTGAAGTTTGAGCATATGAGAGTTAGTAAGATTTACTATTTGTATTTACAAGAGAGCTATCATGTCAATCATGAAACATCTAAATAATATCAATGAAATACTTATGCGCGAGAATGTTTTCTCATGGTCTAGAAGAACAATGATTAGCGTACATAATTACATGTGTTATATTATTAATTCATACAAGATTGAAGAACAACATTAATATTAGCATGTGTTGCCATATACGTAGTAATTATTAAGAAATGTTTGATCAAATAATGATCATCAATTTCTATTATTCATGGCCTCCAGAAGAAGGCAAAAAGTATAATGGATAAGGCAAATTTAAACAAAGATTTCAAATGAAATGTGGACAAACACATGTCTTATTATCATAAGTATGGTGATATGAAGACTCACTTGCTCGTGTGAAGATGTGAAGATTTAGGAGGATCAAAGATCAAAGAATGATACTTTTCTGCGCCATGTGAGAAGATACTCAACTATATTGGATTTATTGTTGCGACACTAGAAGATCTCAAGTTATGTATTTATCAGGGGGAGAAAATACGCGCTGCACTCTTTTTCCCTTGACCATGGTTTTGTCCCAAATTGGGTTTTCCTGGTAAGGTTTTTAATGAGGCAACATCTCGAGCGTATTACGAAGAATGATGTACTCTTTTTCCTTCACTAAGTTTTTATCCCACAGGGTTTTTCGTAGTAAGGTTTTATTGAGCCACAATCTTCGATAATGGACATCCAAGGGGGAGTGTTATCAAATATTTGTGGATATCCATTATCCTCCTTTGTATCATTCCGGAACAATCTAGATCTAGGGTTTATATTCTTATCCATTCAAACCTTAATATATTGTATTTTATATACCCCATTACATGGAACAGAAATACACTGATATATTCTCTATCAATTTCTCTTATATTTCTCTCTATTTTATAACACAATAATATTTATTTACATATTTTTCCTTATTAATGTTAATTGTTTTTATTTACATATTTTCCCTCATTAATGTTTTTTTTCCCCTAAACTCTTAACATTTATAGCCCTAAAATTATTTGCTCATATTTTGCCTAATGAACGCTACTAACAACTAAAGTTATACAATAACGCCTAACCTAAAAAAACTTTTCAATATAGCTAGTTATGACGCCCACATCACGCGCATTAGTCACCTTAGTAATAAATAAAGGTAAATTGATATGCACGTTAGCCGCTCTATTAATAAATAAAGGTAAATGAGAAATTGGCAAATATAAAGAGGTCACATTGATTTGTCATGGGTGAAAATGCAAAAGTGAAAGTCTAAATGCCTAACTAGGGTATTACTCGTAGAAAAATTCTTTACCCTATCGAACTAGCACCTCTCACAGGTTAACACGCATGTTAAGTTGTCAACACTTAAGAGTTGAGAGTAGTAGAGAAAAATTGTTTGGTTTCTAGTGTTTCTTACTGAACCCAACCCGGCCTAGACACCCGAATTAACACCAGTGAAAATAGTGGTTCATCATGACCTTGGACTACTTGGCTGGAAAATAGAGAGGACAAGGAGCAGAGACACGGGACTTTCATGGTAATAGACCTAATAGTAGAAAATCAAAACACATTGACATCAACAATAGTACTATTTTTCAATTAATCTTCTTCAACTAAATTCAATAATCAATATCAACGACAACCTTGGATTTTAAGCTAGCCAGGGAAACTAGCACGGTCAATAAATGAGTCAAGCCATTATGAAAAGCCATCGCTAAAGCAATGGCATCTACACACTCCACATGTGTTTTTGAGGACTTAAAACTAGCCTTGTTCATCACCGGAAAGGGAGGATGGAGGCAAAGCTGCTAAGGTGCAGGGAAGTTTCTCAGCAATATTCGCTAAACAAAATCAGTCAAATTAAAATGTATCCAGATCAAGAAACCTTGTATATCATGGAAGCAAGAGTACAAGAGGACATAAAAATCAAAATTGTCAAAATGCAAAATCTATAGTAACAACAGTCCTTAAATCAGAACTACTTCTGAGACGAAGCTCAGAACGCGCCTTTTCTAGTCTTCTGCATCTTGGAGTCATTCTTCATTATCTTTCGCAACAAATTAATTGATCCTACATCCAATTTCTGTACGCTCCTAAGAAAAGTTGGGGAAAGGGAGGGGAAGAGGGGTAAGACAATCATGGATAGATAATTATCTGAAACGGTTACAAATACGAGTACTTAGTATTTATGCCTAGGCCCTTGAACCCAAGCACCATCAATGGAATCGAGAACTCCAGTCAAGCCATCGTCAACAAAATCACCAATACTTTTTATTTTTCCCTCCTTGGGCTCAACAGGGTACTCCCCTGAAAAACAAGCATAGCAAAAGCTGGGTGAATCGTTACCCAACATTCTCCTCAAGCTATCAATAGACAAAAAGGCAAGCGAATCAGACCCAATGTACTCCCTAATTTGCTCCACATCCAACCTATTTGAGATGAGCTCTTCGGAACTAGGAGTATCCACACCATAATAGCAAGAACCAATGATGGGCGGGCAAGCAATCCTCATATGTACCTCTTTTGCACCAGCCTCCTTGATCAATCGAACTATTTTCGATGATGTAGTTCCCCTAACAATCGAGTCATCCACAACCACAACCCTCTTCCCCTCCAAAACAGCCTTCACTGGTGCCAACTTAAGCTTCACACCAAAGTCCCTAATCCTCTGGGAAGGCTCAATAAAAGTTCTACCAACATAATGAGACCTAATCAAACCCTGCTGAAACGGCACACCGGCTTTCTCAGCATACCCAAGAGCAGCAACAACACCAGAATCAGGCACAGCAATGACAACATCACACTCAACCGGCGATTCAGTAGCCAAGATTATACCAAATGCCCGCCTAGACTCATACACAGACCTACCAAAAACAATCGAATTCGGCAACGAAAAGTAAATGTGCTCGAAAATACACTGCTTGGACACAGGATGAGGCATCAAACACAATGACTGAACCCCATCTTTGTCCACAACTAAAACCTCACCAGGATACACTTCCCTCTCATAAGTAGCCTCAATTAAATCAAGTGCACATGTCTCAGAAGCAAAAACAACAGCCCCATTACTCCTCCTACCCATCACAAGCGGCCGAAACCCGAACGGGTCTCGAACCGCCACCAGCTTATCCTCTGTCAAAAACACCATACTATAAGCCCCTTCTAACTGTTCACAAGCATCAACAATCCTCAAAAAAAAGGGTCTAGCTTTAGAAATAGCAATCAAATGAAGAACTACTTCAGTATCAGAACTAGTATTAAAAATTGAACCATTTTCTTCAAGATTTTGTCTCAATGCTTTATAATTAACTAAATTACCATTATGAGCAACACCCACTGAGCCGAACCGGTAACCGGCAACAAAAGGTTGAACATTCTTAAGCATAGAAGACCCAGCAGTTGAATATCGAACATGTCCAATCGTTGATTTTCCCGGTAACTGGTCAAGTTTGGTTTCATTGAAAACCTCTGAAACTAACCCAACTCCAGTAATACTCTGCAAAACGCCGTCGTTTACAGTGACGATTCCAGCACCTTCTTGCCCACGATGTTGTAAAGCATGCAACGCTAAGTAACAGAGACGAGACGCCTCGGAGTCGCCGTATATTCCGACAACGCCGCATTCTTCGCGGGGTTTGTCATCGGAGACATCGATGAATTTGTCGTCGTTATCTGGGTGTTGATTTTTGGGGGAGAAAAAGGGGGAAATAGGGTTAATGGAGGATTTGAGGGAGGTGGGTTTTTGGGGAGGTGAAAAGGGGGGAAAACAGGGTTTTGAGAGGGTTTTAGAGGAGAGAGAAGAAGGGTGAGGAGAGAGAAAAGTGGGGTTTTGGAGAGATGGTGAGCTTAAAGCTGTTGACGCCATTGATGAAAGGTTGGAGTTTTGGAGGAGAGAGAAAGTGAAGAGAGAGAAAGTGAAGGATTGGTTATGGCGGGCTAGGGTTTTGAGAGAGAAGGGATGATAAGAGAGGAGTGAGTGGTGGTGTTCGGCTGTAGAGGAGGGAACTCAAATTTGTTTTTGAAACGAGGCGTATTTGGGTCAGGGGAAGGATTATGGATGTTGAAACGCTGCGTTTTGAGGGGTTTTGTTGTGGGACTTGTGTTGGGCACAATTTATTCCAGAAAATAAGGAAAAAAATATCGGTTAACAAAATAATATCTGGATTTGAATCAACGGAGTACTACGTAATATCTGGATACAAAATGATATAAAGATATTATAATTTTAAAAACAAATAACTTTCTTTTTTTATTTGACAGCAAATAAAAACTTAGTTTGATGTTCATAAGTTTGATGTTTTCTATGTAGCCTTGTAGGGTTGATAAATTTGTTTAAACTTATTTGAATGTAATGTGATTTCCCTAAAAAATGGAAAGTAAAATAATTGTTTATTGTATTGTCATTTTTTATTTTTTTTATTATTTAAAAATAGGTATTAATGTCATTCATTTCCGTAATTCAAAAAATAGGTAAAAAAAAAAATTCTTATTTTTCAAAGATTTTACTAGTCTAATCTACATTGTTACTCCCAATCACATCATGCTCATTAAAAATCACACTTATGGTAATTCAGAAAATAAATACAAGTACAAAGATTGAGTGGCGTTTGATGAGCTTAAGATGAATTTTGAAAAACATTTTTTTTTTCAAAAGAAATAAATAAATCATTTTTTTTAAACAAAATAAATCAATTGTTTGATGTCAAAAAAAGTAAAAAATACAGAGTAACAATAATAATTACTCTGAAAATATATGGAGTATAAAACACATTTTCATAATATATACTCCCCCCGTCCCTGAAAGAACGACCCATTTGGGTTGATTACGTGGGTATTAAGAAAGTTAAATAAAAAAAGTAAAAGTATATTGAAAAGATAAATTTACATGACGCTTGTAAAGTAATAGAGAGATAAAGTAATAAAATTACATGCAAAATCAAATTTTTATATGGAGAAGCTAATTTTACACAAATATTGTTATAAATTGGTGGGTATTTTAATGCAAATGGGTCATTCTTTTTTAGACTAAAATTAGATCAAATGGATCGTTCTTTCGTAGACGGAGGTAGTATATTTTTTTTTAATCATACGAGTATTTTCTAAATATATTATCACGTATACATTGACTATCGAATCAGCCTGTTTAAATGCTAAAAAATAATTTAGCTGACAAATTTTTATTTATTTATTTTTATTTTATTTTTATTTTTTTTGAGGGAAGCTGACAAAAGTTTGTTCAAAAGAATTTGGGGATAATTAATCTTGATTCCAATGATAAATGTTCTCTCTCTTTTTCAGGTTGTCCCGTTAGAAGGGTCGATTCATTAATTGCATGGAGAATAATCAACTAAACGAAATAGTCCTTACATAAATTATACTCCACCCAAAATAGCCGTATAATCTATGCAATTAAATTACATGTACCATTAATATCACCAATTCAAAAATGTCATTTTCAGGAATATTTCCATCATTATCTTTGTAACGCAAAAGAATAAGCACATATCATCACACTTTTTTCTGCCTTTTGGCCTTTGTGTACACTAAACGGCTGTGCAATGTGCATGCAATGCAGCCGTGTTTTATGGGAGTCTTTAACTGAACATTTAAGATTAAATCATCGTTTGAGGGACCCGAAAATATAAAATTATGTTGTTCTTTTGACCACGAAAAAGGATCCAGGTAATGAAAAAAGGGATAAATTCTGCGTCAACAGTTTTCCAGAATCGCGTTTCCAGTAAAATGATGTAACTACTTCTGATCTATGGAGTTACGACATCCATGGGGCGAATAGATTCCCCCCTACGACAAAAATAATAACTGAGGGTGTTGTGAAGTGATACATGTTAACGCTTGACCCATTGGAAGCTCTTTCTTGCTTTAGCTTTACCGGGCTTTTTACGCTCCACGACTCTAGGATCTCTTGTCAAAAACCCAGCTGAATTGTGATGCAAAGAATCATTAGATTGTTAGGCAATGAAAACTGCAGAATAAGAATACAATGCCAAAATAATAATGTAATAGGTTAGAAATGCTTTGCAAGTGACTAGGATTCTATACCTTCTCTTAGTGGAGGTCGCAACCCAGGTTCCCAACATTGCAATGCTCTGCTAATCCCTAAACGAATTGCATCAACTTGACCTGTTTCAGACCAAATATTAATTTAGAATTAGTTTTTTTTCTACTTAGCCAATTAAGTTCAGGGGAAATCAAGTAAAAGTGTAAAACAAAGGTTCTACAAGTTCCATTGAATTCATTTGAGTTTAGATAAGGCTACCCAAGTTCGATTCACAGCTAACATAGGTTTAGACTTTAGACAAGTTCATGCGAAGTATTTAGATAATTTTCCAATTGAAATGGAACTGGGAAATGGGAATACATGTCAGAAACAAGCAGCCAACATATAGTTTATTGCTAGAGTGCTGCTTTAATAAGCAGCTGTCGTTCACACTTCAGTCAAAACGAAAACTAAACACTCAAAATTGAAAATTCAACTACAATAATTGCTGGAACAAAAACTAGAAAACATACAAGTCCAAAAGGTGGGGGAAAAAACAGTGCAGATAAAGGACATGAACTTCACCAGTGCTTTATTAAAAGATAGAGCACATGACATCAGCATAACCAGCTCAAGGAATTGCAAAACAAACCGACATGAATAACACTTTTCGATTTTTAACTGAGTTAATGCACTACCAAAACAAGAAACTAACAAAAGAAGAGTGAACCAAGCTCCCATGATCCCTCTGCCTTCTGAAACAAGGTGACAGTCAAGATCACAAATGCCTTCGAGCATGTTCAACAGCACTGCTGTAACTCTGTTAGTCTGAACTACTCTAACAACGAGAGCAAGGACAGCAACAAGTAAAACGAGCTCAAATGAATCTCAAAGATTCCCAATGATAATATACTCATAACTGATGGTCTAACGGCCTCGCCTTTGGTCTCTCACTAACTCACAAATAGACAATAGACATTAAAAGTCCTTTATCATTTACATGGAATAGTACATTATATTAGAAAATTTTACAGAATGACCTTGATGTTAAGCAAAGTGGTCAATTGACCTTGATTTTTTATAAATATACTTGGGTTATGGAATTCCCTAAATGATGACAGAAGGGTAACAGTAAGTAATCCTCTCCCGTCTTCTTAAAGCTAAATAAATAGATTATATCATATGAAAATAAAAAGAAAGGCAAGAAAATACAAAATATACCTCTCCTTTACATCCCACCTCCCAACCACCACCATTACCCTTGCAACCAATACTCCCTCCAACAATACCTTTCAACCACACACTCCCCCCTTCCTCAAACCATCTCCACCCCCCCCCCCACAAAAAAAAAAAAAAAAAAAAAAAAAAAAAAAAAAAAATCATAAATTCCGCAAACCTTGTACTAGAGTTTGTGAGGGAAACAGAATACATGCGTCAAGACTTAAAAGAGAATATACCAGAAATTGTGGCACAGAAACATATGACTTGTAACATCTTAATAATAAACTTCCTGAACCTTCTACTTAATCACAGTCGACAATCATTAACTGGTCACTGACTTTTTGCTGCTTCCCACCTTGCCAACTGTATTTCCATAAGCCTATTTTAAATTAGTTTTTCACTAGTGGTTCTCAATATTACTTGTTTTTCTCGCTGACCTAACAAAGGAGGGGAGCTCAGATAAAGAGAGCAGTGTTGTCATGTACTGACAGCCCAGGTGATTTATGGCATTGTAGTCATGATTTTTGGCAACAGTGGTGACACAACTGCTGTTTGTGACATGTGAAGAGTTGGGAATAACATGTGAAGAGTTGGGAATAATATCAACAAAGTGTCACCTAGTGGATAAGGACACTGTTGAAACAAAAGCTAAGAACGGTTAAGGTCTTCAATAATCTGCTGAAGACCAAAAATTGTTTTCAGAAATGTTAATACACAAAGATAAACTAGAATGCCTTACTAAGCAGTTAGCAGAACAAGGGCTCCTTACCTTTTGGAAGGCTTCCACACATGGAATAGAATGTCATCTGCAAGCACATTCCATAGGGTCATAGGAAAGGGGATACCATTTCCCTTTCAAGGATAACTAGAGGCATGGTATTTTAGTAAAGCATGTGACTGGATACTTGGAGAGAAGACTAAGAGTAATTCTTAAACAGCCCATTTGGTAGGTAATAATAAATTATAGTATTGTGAATGAATTCAAGTGTAATTTATGTACACATTAATGCAACTCAATTCCAGTCTATTTTTTTCCTTCATATATAACAATCACACCCAGTACCACCTCTCAAGTGATGATGGATGGCAATGAAATTTATAAAGAAAAAGAGAATTTTGGGAATTACCATGAGCATATTGCATAAAAATTTTCATTCTCAATATCACTATTTATTACTACCTACCAAATGGGCCATTAGAGTTTTTTTATACTTTCTCTCACCAAGATCTTGAAGGCTCTATTTTTCCATTTGCCACCGCATAGTGCAGCCCTCTACCCATATGGTAAGACAAACGATTATTGCTCCAATATAATAGGTGACAGTATAGATTTAATTCCTAAGAGAATTTATAAGCCCTACTTGGGTAGTCTTCAAGATCGTATACAACTTTGGAAAACTTCTGCCCAAAATGTACTTTTTCACTCTTTGTCAGCAGAACTCTTGGTCTATGAAGTGATTTTGTAAAACGAATTACACATGATAAAATTAAAAACACTTAACATAGGAAGGCAATCAATCACATATACTCGCTGCACAGATGTATAAAGAATTTGTGCATGTCCTAAGGGGGCAGAGCTAGTGTGGTTTGGCAAATCTTTCCAGCTTAAACAACTTTAAGAAAAACATGACAGTAGAAAATCAGCCCCAATAATATAACCTGGCCTACACTTTTACCTCAATCCATACTAAGTATTTGGTTGAGAAAAATCATAATCATTATCCCAGCAATTCAAATCATAATCTTTCCCTGGCGGGTGAAGGTCAGATGATGCATGCAGCCTTTTTGATGATAATGCACGCCTTGCACTGCGATGCACAAAGGCTGTTTTGCTTAAACCCTTACTTTTAGTGCTTTGACTAACTTCAGCCATACAAAGTTAGTTGAGCTATTTTGATCTAATATTTCCAATAACCTAAAGTAGTAACATTACCATTTTGCCAAATGCCAACAAAATTTCATTCAGCTTCATCTTAAACAAACTTAGAGTGAGGCTAAATACAAAACCCTAGGATGTTTAATGTTGTAGCTATTTTTAAGCATGGATATTGTTATTTCCCCTTCTATTCCCAGCACTTCAGGTGCTTAATATGCAAAGCGTCAAAGCCACATAACAGTTAATAGTGAGCTAAGAAACCATCCTTTCCAATGATATTCTACAAGCTGAGGAATTAGCATCAGGGCTAAACTTATCAAGAGAGAGGTGAAAGAAACTGACGGTCAGGGGTGATTCATTCATAATTTCGCTACTTAAGTGACAACGGGAAGACCATATTTGATGGAGAGGCATGCAAAACTTGCTACATAGGAGAGAACCAGGTACAGCATGTTACAAGGAGAGACAAAATTTCATAGGGAAAAAAATGAACTACTGTGTCAGGTTAGGTATAACTGTATAAAATTTGCTTTGATCCTTTTGTTTAGATGCATGACATACATCTCTTCAAAGTGATCATAGGCAATGATATAATTAATAAAATTCCATTCTTTAATATCCATCAGCTGATCAGCATCAATCCTTCTTCCCTCAGAACCTCATTTGAATAACAATTAAATAATCAGCTGCCGCCACATAATTACATACTATAACCAACACTAGTAAAATACTTGGTTTAATATACTCTACAAGTCTAGTATATAAAAAATATCATTCAGTAAATAATTAGCAAGCTAGCTGTTAAGACTTGCTGCTTTTCCTACTAACCATTATTACCATCCTTGTTACTCACAACCACTACACTCCATCCATGCATAACCTTTTTATTCCTGAATATTCTTATGTGTTTTACACAAACAAAAGCACCAAACAGCATAGTCTTTCCATCTACACCTCAATACCCATACACCACAATACATAGCAAATCTTATAGCTATACTTGGATGTTCTTCATTATTTCTCAAGTTTTAGCAATTTCTATAGAACAACCCGTAAAACCATGTGCATGGTACAACCAAGACTATTCTCTTGGCTAATCTACTCAATTAGGAGAGTTCCAAATGAGTAGATGTGTCCAAAGTTACTTGGTTGTACCATGCACATGGTACAATTATTGTATTTTCACACCTATGTTACGGTACTCATGTCCGACACGGATATGTGTCCAAGTATCCTACTCGGCTATTTAGTGAAAAAATTCTATAATTGAACTAAAATGAAGTGTTCGAGTGTCAAGAGTCCGACACGGGTACTTAAGGTATAATGAAGAATCCAAGTAACATAGATTATCACTATCTTGTCCCTTGCTTATTAATTCTACCGCATTTACTTTTGACATCAAACACATAATCAACTTTGACCTTCTTTAGTTGATAATACCAAAGGAATAACACAACTATGGGTGATCTTGTTAGGCTTGACTCCATAGATATATTTTCAATTCATCAAATTCCTCTAACAGTCTTCAATAATAGAAAATTATTGATAATAAAGGAGAAAGTTGTGTGATGGAACACGTTACAAGTCAACAGGGTAGAACTATAAGTAAATAAAGTAAGTAATTATCAACAACAACGCTCAAAAAACCTCTTACAGCCAAACCCAAACCCTAGAAATTCCATGTGATTACAACAAAACAAACACAAGACAAAGTGATCCTCCGTCGCCTTGTCGCCTCATCTAGACCAGACCATCCTTATCTCCAAAGAGGAAAATAACATCCTAATCTGTCTATTGAGGCCAACTTGCAACTATCTTTAAGAGCTAGCCACATAATATGGCAAGCCTGAAGGGGAAAAAAGTCCCTGATATGAAGGTGCCTTCAGGACACACTCATAACATCTATTTTTATATTTTGATATATTAGATTAATATTGAAATTTCTTTTCTTGTGTAGTCATCAACTCATCATGTAGCAATCTCCTAAAACTATAGCTCTTGTTCTTACTTAGTCATTGACATCAATTGTGGCTTATATCGAGGGTTAATAATTTAATACTAAACTATCTTTTTAACACACATGATACATCATCCCCTGTAACAAATTAACCATACTAGAAAAATAATTACATACTCCAGCATATGATGACCAAAAAGTGGAACTCTTTCCTCTTTTGGTATGGTTGAAGAACAGACCACTAACCCTCAATTACAAGTGGACTTAGTACCCAAGTGAGTTGGATGATGAACACTACCTTAAATTTAAATCAAAGAATATATTTATTCATTTAAGCACTAAGAGTTGGACCCCAACCGCACTAACTCTTCTGCAAACTTGAAGTAGCCATAATAAGTCAAATCATTGTCACAGTCGTTGAAAGGTGTCAACATCACCAACTAGACTCTGTCTGGCAAGACAGAAGGTACAGAGTGAAGAAAGAAATAAGAAAATTAATAAAAGAACAGAGCAAGACTATAAAAAGAAACCCTGTAATTAGTATAGATAAAATTTCGACAACACAGCCTAACACTAACCACTATATTGAAATTTATTTGATCCTTACATACTCATTTTCCAGTCAACACATGAAAATGGGCATTAGATATTGCCTATTATCTTCTTAACCCCCAAAGAAACAGTCTAGCAATCTAGCATACGATTCTAGTAGTATTTCTACATTGTGGGCATTGCAATAAAAGATGATTTATCATTCCATGACTTTCAAAAACAAATTTCGAAAGGGTGTTTCAATCAAATGATACTTGAGAATACATCTACATATAAATACCTTTGGCTAAGAGATTGTTCGTCATCATTTTTTGTTTCCAGTTTTCAATTTTCAATTTTTTGAAAACTAAAAACAAAAATATGACAACCAAAAAAAGTAATTATTACTTTTCAGTTATGAGTATTCAAAACTAACATGATTTGTACAGGTATAGCTAGTTTTAAGTTCAAAATACAACTTATATATCTTTTAAAATCTATAGAACAAAAACAAGAAACCAGCAATGGTGCTGAACGTGCCCTAAACAACTAATAATATTTTTATCCAATATAATACATGAAAAGAAACAAACACAATTGTAAGGGTACATATTTCCCTCTTTAACAATTCAAGTCTCTTTTTAGTGGCTTTTGTACAGCTGGGGTCAAGTTTTAGTCTTTGGGCGATACTAGGCACTTTCTTGAAAAATCAATTAAAATTTATTCTTAGCCCTCCCTTTGTATATGGGGCAACATCCCCTTGGTGACATCTACATCTCCTCCACCATTCCATTCCAAAGAAATTGTCATTAAGGGTTAGATATTTAGATTCAATGAGCGGGCATTAACAAATAGTATGATATAAGTGGGACCAGAGCAAATAAAATTGGGTAAATAAGCATTTATCAGCCAAAGAGAACAAAAAGGTGGACAATTTCTATGAGATAGAGGGAGAAAAGTTCTATTTAAGAATCAAATTGATAACTCCTTAGAAAGATATAGATAAGCACATCCGCAACATTTATCTTTAAATTTTAGAAAAAACTCAAAGCTCTTTTGAAGTTCCCTTTTAAATTTTAAAGCCAAACCAAAACTATGAAATTTTATATCAATGATATTGAGAAAGTCTCCACCTTTAAGATTATGGACATTTCAAAAGACAATATGCTATGCAGACCCAATTCAATAGGTAAAGCACATCATACAGATCCAAAGCTAACACATTACTAGCCAATTGCTAGTCTAAAAACATCAATTGATCTAAAACAGTCAATAATCAAATTGTGGGAATCCACCATATACATGTTTTTAGCAGAATCTTATACCACTATATTCCAGCGTACATTTGATAATAATAGCTCTTATTAAATTCAGATACTGATATCACAAGGTCAATGAAGTGTTGAGATTTCCTTAATTCATAGTTAAAAAGCAACCCAAATCATATGAATTGGGTGAAGAGGGTAAAGAAAAGCTAACCTGTGGTACCACCTCCTTTCACAGTGCATTTGATGTCCCAAAGACCTAATGTCTTTGTCTCAGCAAATGGTCGAAGAAGAGCTGCACGATGATCAAGCATCGGGAAATAGACATCAAACATCTTGTCATTAATCAAAAAACTTCCCTCGCCAGGTTGAATCCAAACTCGAGCTATACTGCACTTTCTCCTTCCTGTCCCATAAGCTCTTCCTTTCTCATCCACTTGTCTAACCCTTGCCTTTGCAGCTTCCTCCTGCTTCTGAAGCTCCAATTCATATCTCGATGATTTTCTAAAAGTCTTTTCATAACGCTCATCTTCTATTTGTGTCAAAGGAGGCAGTCCATCAATATCTTGGAAATTTTTCAAGGCAATCAAGCTATCCAGCATTGCATCAGTGATTCCAGATGCAGCAACGAGATCACCAAAAGCACGGTTTGGACCTGAACAAAGCAACATAGACTTCAATACCATAAACAACAAAACAGAAAAAGCTGCTTCTCTAAATCTGCGGGACGATAGGGACACAAAATGGCAGATCTTGACATTGAAATCAGATAGCATTAAAGTGAAACAGGAAGAGAACCAGAAAGACATATATAACTAGGGGTACAGGTGATCTAAATCATCCCAAGTTATGTTCAATCTACAACAAAAAAGATAACTTTGGCATGAAATATATCTCTTAAGATTTAAGAACCACCCAACTTTATTAATATAACCTTCTAACTACAACAAAATGCATCCAAGTGTTGAGATAAGGTCAGTTCACAAAAATTGTTTGTTACTTGTTAACACAAGAAACCCACAGATGTAAAAACCTCAATTTCAATTTACATGGCATCTCTCTATCACTAGATGCAAATAACAGAAAAGGTAGACAAGTTCCAACAAACAAGCAATAAGCCAAGCCAGAACATTGTCAGTGAGTGTTAATTTTTCAATTGTTAGAAAAGACAGTTCCTTTAATCTCTTTAATCTTGGTTAGTTTATTCCTCAATTTTGCACTCAATGCCCTAATGTGTCCTGCTAACTTTTTTTTTTTTTTTTTTTTTTTTTTTTTTTTTTTTTTTAAATTTTGAGAAAGTGCTAGCTATTATCTTTCCCTCCCTAACCAAGTCCCTACTTCACCTCTCCCCCCCCCCCCCTTCCACCCAAATCGTTTTTACAACGTATTCCAAGATCAAATTATTTTTACAACATATTCCAAGATCAAATTGTTTTAACAACATATTCTAAGATCAGGAATTTCTTTCCCCGACCAGGTAAATGACAAGGTGACGTATGTGCATACGGAAATTGGTTTTGATTCACTTTTATCTAAACGAAATCTAGTGTATAACAGCCTAAGCAGGAATCATCTTTTAATAATTCAGCAATTTTGACGGCATTCCACAGAGCATTGGTCTATCATTTGCATTTAGAAGCTTCAATAACCAAATTAACTATCAACCTCGACTATCGGCTGCAGGTACATCCCTTACAAGAATACATTTATTAGAGGCATTGAGGATAGATGAATTGAGACATCAGGAAATTGAAACAATCCCTCCTATGTATCTAGTATGCGTATCTACATTGTAATAGAAATTGATAAACACACTTTGACATCAAAATAAAAAACTTACAGAAACTTTAATAGAACACAAGGAATAATATACAATCATACAGATCAACTGAAAAATAAAGGTAAAAAATTCACCTTTAAGGACTTCCATGAGAGCTTGTTCTTCCTTCTCAAGCTCTAATTTCTGAGCAGCACTCACCATTTCCCTCTCCTCCACAGTCCCATCACTTCTTCCCTCACCTCGAACACCGCCTTCGAGCCCGAACAGATCCTCCCCCCTCTCCTCCTCCCCTAATTTCCATGGCTGAAACCCCGGCGACGGCGACACCCTCTCACCACCCACCCCACCACTCTCTCCCCCACCAAACTCATCAAACACACCTCCATCACCACCATCCCCACTTTCTCCAACAACCCATGATTGTTCTTGAGAAACCCTCGATTCTCTCCTCACTTCCTCCTTATCCCCCGTCAAATTCCCTTCATGGGTACTAAAAAAATCATCTAAATTACTCGTTTCTGAGCCGATTTTCCATAAATCTGAAGTGGGTTTTTCCCCATTTCCATTTTCACCATTGCTGGAGAAATAGCGACTGTGATTGATGAAATTGGTCGATTGGAATTTAGGGACTTGAGGGGATTGAACAGGAGGGTGGGAACGAGGTGAAAGAGTGATAGAAAGGTGTCGGAGTTGCCGAGAATGGATTGCAATGAAGCGTGAGAGCATTGCTCTAGTATGAGGGTTTAACAAGGGTTTCTAACGCTTTTCAACAATATATGAGTATGAAAATTTGGAGTAGTGTTGAAACTTAGAAGGAGGCGATGTTCTTGTTGTATGTAAGTTGGCCAGAGTGCAACACCATATTCAGGAACGATCGAAATGAGGTTGTTTACCCATTGAGAGTTTGAGACTTTGAGAGAGGTCGATAAGAGTCTATTAGCAAGTCCGTTAAGCTAGTAAATGGGTCATTTTATTTGGATTTTTTGGTAAAACCCGGTTCACCCTTTGGGCTAATTCGGATTTGGGGATCAGTTCTGGGTGATTAAGTTTCATTCCCCTCCCAATTGTTGTTGCGGGGGATCGAACACAAGTTCTCCTTACCAAGTGTAATCACAATCACCACTACACCAACACCCAATTGGTTTCGTTTATTTGGATTTGGGTGAAAATGATGAATAAACCTTAGGTTATATTGATTAATGAGTAAATGACAAATATTACGAGTAATTTTTATTTTAAACAATAGCGTAAGTTTGGATGGTGCAATAATCAATCAATACCAATATATCAATCAATATATATATTATTAAAACTAATGGCCAAACATGCTATTTTGTCATGTGTCACCAATTTTGCCATTTGGCATATGATGTGACACCACATCATACCAGTCCATAAATAATTGTAAAGCTCCATGCATTAATATTAATGTTTAGTTTAATTGAAAAACTTTTTTCATATGCATAACACTGTATTTAAATTTCCCTTGAAATGTAACTCATAAATAATTGCACAATAATAAAATTTGTAAGAAATTAAAAATTATTCCATTTTTTTGTGCATTAATTAATAAATTGTAATTATACAATAAAGGATTTGATTTATATATACATATATTACAATTGTGATTATTTTTACAAAAAAAATATTACAATTGTGCTTATAGAAGTTTTTTTTTTTTTTTTTTTTTTTTTTGTGCATTATTAAGTACGTAGTGTATATATTGACATCAAATTTATAAAGATTTGATTTATCAATTTTTTTTAACAACAAATTAATTGATTTATTATTTACCCTATATTTATTAATGCAAAAAATTATTTTTATAGTCAAAACATCTCATACAAATAACAAACTACTTAAACTATCATGTAATCACCCGTAATTTTGTGAAATTTAAAATTATATTTTAACATATTTATGTGAATATTTAATTATGATTATTTACTTACATAATTTTTTTTTTTTGAGGCAAAGCAGGGGAATTTTATTTATTCAACTGAGGACAATTTGTCCATTAGTACATAGGGAGATATATCACTAGGACAACAATTCGACCATTGTTGCTCGACATCATAAGGGATGACACGAGCTAAATGGTGTGCTACAAAATTCCCTTCCCGCTTTACATGAGACCAGGAAATAAAATCAAAGTAAAAGCAAGCATCTAGCACATCGTCAAGCAGGGAGTCTAGATCAGAGAGGTAGGTAGAAGCCTTTGTGAGACGAGAGATAATTGTGCTATTGTCTGACTCGAGGATGACATTTTTAAGACCATGTTGCTTCGCCAATTTGACAGCATAAACCGCAGCTTTGCATTCTGCCAACTGAGGAGACCAGTGAGCTTTATACCTTCTAACACCAGCAAACAAGACCTCACCCAAGTGGTTGCGGGCAACAGCACCTAGCCCGATCCACCCTTCAACATTTAAGGCTGCATCACAGTTAATTTTTATGCACTCTTGAGATGGAGGCTGCCAGATTCTCGAGCTCTTGGGAGATTTGGGAAGCTTGCAACCGTAAATCTTCTTATTGTACCTGTCATAATCATCAACAAGGTTCGACATTCGCATAATGATAGAGCTGTGGGAAGTTTCCTTGTTGTTAAAATTTTTTATTGTTGCACCTTTCCCAAATAAGCCAAAGAAGGACAGCTCCTCTCTGTTGGGTCTTGACATCCACGCCTCCCCAAGCTTCAATCAAGCTCTTAAAGTCGGGATAATCATCAATCATCACCATCTTTTCGCACTTAGCAGCATTCCAAAGATCACAAACAGCAGGGAAAGTGAAGGGAGTGGTATAGTGTTTCACTTACAGACGTGCACCAAGGGTAAGAGTCGTCTTCTGCCATATGCCTATACTTCAAGAGAGCACGGACAGGCAGTGAGCTGGTACAGGCCCTCCAAAGTAGATGTCTGACTTTGGGAGTGGTCCCGAGCTTCCATAAATTTACCCAAGCTTGGTGAAATGAGTCAAGGTTGCAAGATTTACCTAGCATGTAGGCAGTCTTCACCGAATAAAGACCATCATTGGAATACGCCCAAGCGAGCCTATCAATCGGATTCCTTTGGCTAATGGGAATCGAAAGAATGCACTTAGTGTCACGATCATTAAAAATAGTAGCTAGTAAATCATGATTCTAATCCATTGCCTCGAAATCAATTAAATCACTGACATTCTCCACCAAATCAGAGCGAGGCGAGAGAATTCTAGAGCCATTCTCATCAGCCACCCAGGGATCATCCCAAACCTTGATGCAACTTCCATTTCCAACACGCCAAATAAGCCCTTCTTTTACTAGAGCTTTGGCACCCCAAATACTCTTCCAAGAGTAGCTACAGGAAAGACCAAGAGAAGAGTCAAGGAAAGAACAATTAGGGAAATATTTCTTACCCAAGACTCTGCTCAATAAAGACTCCGGGTTAGAGATTAATCTCCATGCTTGTTTACCAAGCATAGCTTCATTAAATACAACCATATCTCTAAAGCCTAGCCCACCAAACATCCTTCGGGTTGCACATGGAGTCCCAATTCACCCAATGGACTTTACGGCGATTATTAGAGTGGCCCCACCAAAATTTTGCAGTAAGAGATCTGATATCGTCAATGATGGAGCAAGGCACTCTATAAACCCTCATAATGTAGGATGGAATTGCTTGAATGACCGATTTGATTAGAGTTTCCTTCCCGGCTCGAGACAACAACTTCTCCTTCTACCCCTGCAGCTTTTTCCAGATTCTGTCTTTAAGAGCACAAAAAACCGCTTTCTTTGATCTTCCAATAATAGTCGGAATGCCAAGATACTTGCCATGTTCATACACAAGTCTCATGCCCAAAAAATCCATAATCTCTTGTCTAGCTGACACACATACACCTTTGCTAAAAGAGACCTCCGATTTTTCGTAATTAATTTTCTGTCCGGAAGCTGCTTCGTATTGGTTGAGTATATCAACTATCTTCGAGCATTCTCTTCGGTTGGCTCTAGCAAATAGAAAACTATCATCAGCAAAGAAAAGATGGGATATTATTGGGCCATTCCGACTAGCCCGAGCACCATGAATATCACCCTGCAAAACAACCTTATTAATAAGGCTTGAAAAAGCGTCAGCGACCATAATAAATAAATACGGGGATAATGGATTGCCTTGCCTCAAACCCCTCGACGGCTTTACATCACCACACACTGCTCCATTGATAACAAAAGAATAGGAAATTGTCTCGACAAAGCTCATGACTATCTTCACCCAATAATCAGCAAAACCCATTTTTAAGAGGAGTTTTTCCAAAAAAGGCCATTCCACTCTGTCGTAGGCCTTGCTCATGTCCAATTTCAAAGCTATCATCCCTTTCCTTCCTTTGTTTCTCTTCTTCATAGTGTGAAATAATTCCAGAGCTACAAGAGCATTGTCTGTGATCAATCTACCCGGAACAAAGGCGCTTTGATTTTCAGAGATGGCATTCGGGAGAATAGACTTTAGACGCATCACAATAGCTTTAGAGGCAATTTTGTAAAGCACATTACAGAGAGCAATAGGCCTAAATTCAGACATACTTCAGGGATCTTTCACCTTGGGAATCAAAACAATATTTGTGCAATTAAATTATGCCGTAGAAACAGTACCACGAAGAATGTTGCACACAATAGCAGTAATATCATCCCTAATAATATGCCAGAATTTTTGGTAGAAAATAGCATGTAAACCATCAGGGCCGGGAGCTTTGCAAGGGTGCATCTCGCAAATAGCAGAGTAGATGTCCTTCTTCGTGAAAGGCCGGAGAAGGTGAGTATTGTCCTCATGAGAGATTGAGGGGGTGATCGCGTCAATAACCTCGCTGCAAGAGGTTTCGGAATGCAAACCGGCTGCAAAGAGATTAGAATAGTAATTTTGTACTATAGTGTCAATGTCCTCATCTTCCGTGCGCCACTCCCCATTCTCATCAAGCAGCCCCAAAATTGTGTTTTTCTTTTTCCGTTGGGATGCTTTATGGTGGAAATACTTTGTATTTTTGTCTCCGTCTTTTATCTCTGTCGACCTTGATCTCAAATACCAGTAGGCCTCTTGTTGCTCATAAATGCCATCAAGCTTCTTCTCAATTTCTGCCCCCCGACTTATGTTATCATCCGACATCACCCCCTCTTGCACCTCCTTAAGTTGCTGCTCTAAGTCATCGATTTGTTGAGTAAACTTAACAAATTTTTTGCCACTCCAACTCCGCAATGACCCAAGTAGCCTTCCAAGTCTGTCTAACATAAGGCAACCTTCAGTGTCTTTCCAGGTTTGTTTGACCACCTTCTCACATTCAGAATCGAGTAGCCATGCTGTTTCGAACTTGAAAGATTTCTTCCCTCTCCTGCGCTTCCTTTTAGGTCGCCTCTGTCTCACCAATATTGGGGTGTGATCTGATTTAAACCGGACAAGGTGCTCAACATATGTATCAGGGAACATAGAAAACCATTCATCATTTCCACAAAAACGATCAAGCCTCTCCCGAACACAAGTTTCTGTGGTACGACCTCTCTGCCAAGTATACTATTGGCCTTCGTAACCCAAGTCACGCAAACCATGGTCATCAAGCACGTCACGAAAAGCATTAACCTCTCTACGTTCATTATAAGTGCCCCCTTCTTTCTCCTCCATACTAAGAATTTCATTGAAATCACCCGCGATTAAAATCGGGCCACAAATATTCTCACAAAGGGAACGGATAAGTGACCAAGTCTTGAATTTTTCGGCCGAGGCCGGCTAACCATAGACACCAATGAAATACCACACAAAATCTGATTGTATTACTTTGCCACAAATGTGATGATCAGAAAAAGAAATGAGCTCAAAGTCAATTAAACTACTATTCCAGTACAAACATAAGCCTCCAGAGAGACCTCTACTACTCACACCAAAAGCACAATCGAAACCTAATCTATGTTTAACATGCTCAGAGGAAACTTTATTAATCATAGTTTCAGAAAGAAAGACAAGATTAGGGGCAAGAGAAGCACACCAATTGCTAAGTGCACCAACCGCTCGAGGGTTGCCAAGACCTCGAACGTTCCAGCATAAGGTATTCATTGCTTTTCGAGGGGTTGGTTATGACCAGACCCCTCTACTTGATTTGAACCGTCTCCGGCAGTAGTAGAACCAACAATTTTCCCCTTCTTCACCGTCACAGCCTCCAAATGAGCATCCCCTGCTTGCCTCTTGCGGTTTGCTGGGGCAGCCACACTAGATTGAACAATTGACCCCTCCTTTCTACGAACGATGGCTGCTCTGTCCTTCCTTTTCCATCCTCCCCCTTTTTGCACCTCAGGCTCAATTTCTTACATTATTTCATCTTGATAGAAGGCGTTAGCAGCAACTGATTTTGTGATAATATTAGGATCTTCAAGAGTCACTCCTACATTCTCTTCTCCACCATTATACTTCGGCTTAGGTTCAACACTGGGTTCTGTTCTCTTTTCCAGAGTTAAGTCATTGTTAACCTTGAGTAGCTTGCCCTGGTCAGCAATGATAGGCTGGGGAGCAGAGCTAAAATCAGTTTCTTCAACACTCTTCAACCTTAGCACCATTGTTGCATTATCACCTGTTTTTTCAGCCACCAATCGAGCTTTCCTTACAACTTGGGCCTTGTCGCGAACAACATTGCCCTCTTGAGATTGCTTCGGGGAGTTAAAGAGAATTTTTCTCGCTGCCCCTGGTGGTCCGAGTTTGATTACGCCTGGATCATTGAAACTCTCCGGCTTCACAGAATGGCAGGTGGTTAGGGACTCTTTCCACCTTCGTTCCTTCCTTATCAGTCGGATTAATTTTAGCACGTTTTCTTGGAGTTGCACGGAGCCAAGGGCCATACTGAAAAACCAATTCTTCCTCCTCAGACCTTGCTAATTCTTTAACATGGCAGTCACGATCAATGTGGTCGAGCATACCATAAAAGAAACAGAAATCAGCAAGTCTTTCGTACTTGATATCAATCCACTTTAATGAGGCAGAACCTATTGCAAGTTTAAATCCCCTGCGCAAAGGTTTTCTAATGTCCACATTAATCTTCAGTCTCACAAACTCACTCCATCCCAAAGGTTCCTCGTCATCTAGCTCGATAAAGCCACCAAGAAATTCACCAACATCATACATAGTATTGTTATTACGCCTATTGAATGACACATCCAATAAGCGGATCCACATAGGAGCGTGAGTGAATATTATCTCCGAAGGCTGCTTGTCTCCCTGCACTTCTTTAAGCAACAAAATTTTATCATCAAAGAACCAAGGGCATCCTTCGATCACACGATCTTTGTCACTCTCACAAAAGAATTGGAAAACGAAGAGATTTGTCTCCACAACCCTGATTGCTACACCTTCTTTCAGTTTCCAGACGGTTTGCAGTGTTCGCTTCATAGCCTCCGAGTTATAGGGTTTGCTAGTGCATAGCTTACCCACAAGAGACAATTTCAATTGAATGTTCGAACCCTCGTTATCGGTTTCGAGGGATTCTCCTCCAATAACAGCAACTTCGTCATCTGTAAGTTTCAATTTCTCCCAATCTTTCACTAAATCATTCGCCATAATTGATGAAAAGGATCATAAACCAAGGAAAATCACGAAAAAACACACTGGAATCACGAACTCAAGCGTACTACTGAACCCTAGAAGGGACTACTCAACCCTAGGCGAGGGACTTTTCCATTTCACGTTGAATACTATCAAGACTTTTTTACTTACATAATTTATTTTACTATGATTTAA